CTGTCGGACAGACACAGTATGAACTTGAGAAGAAGACGTACATTTGATTACAGACACTTAGACTCTAATTTAAGCTGTGGCGGATGTGGTGTTTGAATAAACTAATGACTCCTTTGTACTTGTTGAATGCTTGATTTCGAATTCTAAATACAGTACATTCGTTCGTGCCTATCTAATAATTCTGGAATTCTTAGTTTATACTATAATTCAAATACTTCTAATTATCATATTTAGGTAGAAAATTAGTTATTGATGTGATAGTAAGAATCTGGATATTGTTCTTATAAAAGTGACTGATGATTAGGTTCTGTACACAAAGCTAAATTATCGAACTGAAACATACAGAAATGTCATCAATTTGATTGTTCCAACTCATGATGACTTGTTCGTAAGTTGCGCCAACTAAATACGATTAATTTGAGGTCATTTTACGAGAAGCCCTAGATGAAGTGAAGTATTTTCCTAAGAACGAGCTTAGAGGGAAGGTGGTAGGTATATTGTCGGTAAGCAGTGTTAATTGTCGGCCTTCCGTAGGGCGTTGAAAAAGCCATACAGTACAATACATGGCTAGGCGATCCCCACCGAAAGTGCTTTACCTCGATTTGGCGTCTTGCAATCATCTCGAGAAGGTTAACAAAGACCGCAAGGTGTTGCTTACCCGTTGTTATAGAACTCATCTGATTACTTAGTCGGATACATCCAATGCGGTGCGCCGACACGCTTTCGAAAATACAGGTGGTCTTGTAGTTGTTATGTGGTGCGTAACATTTCTGGTTACACAAGATAGTTTCAGGTGCGTTTGGTATGTTTCAAGGTACCTATTCGGGTGTCCGTTGATAGAATGGGTCGATTGTGTGTCTTACTATGACTGGAGATAATCTACAACCAGAAAAGGAAGTTAAGTAAACAGATAATTTGGTATTTCCATCTACTAACTTACGTCTATATCAATGATTGGCATAGAAACATCTGCAGCGATGAAAATCCAGTGAGTGAGTCTGCGTAAACACACATTAAGATAAACACATTGCTTACACATTTGCTACCTGTCAGTTGAAAACTGCTTCATGCAGTTGGTCGTTAGAATCCGCTAACGTCTGCTTTAGTCTTGACGAGATAGGGAACTTTCGTCAACACATCAACTATGCACAACACAGTTGTGTTTGCCGGCTACGGCTGTCATAACTGCGTGCCGGCTGAGAAGTTTGCCGAAGAGTTTTCGTGTCGGATGGTTTGAAGACTAGGAAGCTGCGGGGTTTTCCGCCATTTCTAGAAGACTAAACACATTTATCGTGGTGCTAGAACCAATCAAGATTGTCTGTTGCTCATGGTCTAATAACAGATCTTCTTCATGACGAGCTTCTTAGAGAAGTTTGAGAGCGTCTACGATTACGATGAATATCGAGAGAGTGCGAAAGTGTTCTGTGATGTAGTTTTGTTACGTTTGAGACTTTTCTTTGACAGAATAAACGTCGACGTCGAGAGTTCTAGTGATTTCCAGAATCCGGTCGGCGGATGTAGCCGGTTCATCTACGACGCTATTTTGTATTGAGACAAGTACTGCATTCACCTGTTAAGGAAGCTTAGGCGACAAGAACTATGTAAATGGGATCTCATCAAAGATCCGTTGGCCATTGGCCTCACGCATACGTGGAAACATTTCTGTCGCTGAGCCATGATGCGATTTGGTTCTGTGGAAGAGTTGGTCTGAACTTTGTCGGTTGGATAGGTCTCCACGTTAAAGGACAGCTTCCTTCAAGGTGTCCTTATGCTCCAAAACCTCACTAGTAAACATGTTGAGCGTGAAGTACCTGTGGAAATCGCACTGTAATGCCTTCACAACTGCGAAAAAATGTGCACGTAGGTCCGTCACTCTGTGCTCGTGGAAGTCAGCTTCTTCGTAGTAGAACCGTGCTTCTGTGTTGTCAGACCAGAATGGAATTAGCTGAAGTTTTGGACATGAAAGATGTTTAATCCTAAATAGCTTAAGTGTCTGTTCTATGGTAAAGATATGATATAGCAATGGACGAGAAAAAAATACCTGAAAACATGAAAACAATATGATGATCTGTAAAAATTAAAATTCAAAAATGGTACACAATGTTCCAACAAGGTACAGACTCAGAGTTTACGAATAACTGTGCGTGATAATGCCATTCTCACCACTAAAGTTGCCACAGGTATTTGTAGTTTGATGACGCCTTTACACGTAACAGCTTTATGGTCGAAAAAATCCATCCCAGCCAAATGAGCAATGAAGGGGTTCGAAGATATATTTAAAAGGCTACCGACTTCCCGAAATGCATTTCGTCTAGTCAGGCTAGTGGTTGCAAGGGATGCGTAGTACAGTTAACGAATTCGTGACCTGGTGCGGCCGCGTGACAAAGAGCCTTCAGCTAGATGAGTCCGATAAAACTACTGAGGTCAGTATCATTGGGGTGGATTTATCCGCAACGTTTCCATGTAAGCCTAATGTATCGCCCAGTGTAATAACGGTCAGATCTGCGTTCATGTAATCATAGAATTTGTCATTTCATAATGTATTTTTTATTAAATAACTAGATTATTCTGTGAATTCTGCTCTAGTTGTCATTTTTATTCTCCACGTCTGACTGCGTTACACTGTACGTTCACTGCACTCTGGGATGATATCCCAAATCATAGTGAGTTAGATCACATATTTGATTGTTTCCAGATAGACCGTCAGTGCATAATGTTACTGAAAAAACGGTTTGTTGTGCTGTAAACTATGTTTTTATGAACAACTGATTGTTATTTTCAGTCTGAAAGCACTATATATATATATCCTTTGTCTTCTGTTAGGTAATTTCGACTGACCTATATTTCGTATTTTGGTTTTGTCGGCTGAATTATGTCCATTTAACTACTTTGAACAACATGTCTGTGCAAATGAAACAATAATTATGACACTTGCATAGTTTAGTATTCTTGGTTGTCGTATAATTCCGTTTAGTCAGAAGAATTATGGTATATACCACTATACTTAAGTATGGTTCTTGAAGCCTGTAACGAAACAGGTCAGTTTAGTAAGTAGAGCTGCCTGTTTTTAATGAGTATACTGATTCAAATCAGTCTGATTATAAATAGTAAAAAAGTGCCATTGATGTTGCTGTTGTAGCGGTAAATAATTCCCCAAAATCAAATAGCTCTGTAAGTTTTCGACATTGGATGCTGACCATAGTTTTAGTGGACTCATCTAGCGGAAGGCGCTCGGTCAAGCATCCGCACCAGATCACGTGTGGGAACGCCGTGCTCAACATCCGCCTCAATCGCTAGCCAGATTAGTGCCAACGATCCTCGATATATTGATAGCTTATCAAATATATCTTCGATCTCCTCGCTTCTGTCTTTTGATTTTACTTGGTGGGTGCGCTTCGTATTAGAAGGTGTGACTGGTTAAAGCGTTGTCAAACTCTGAATACCTGTGGCATCTTCATTGGTGAGCCCGACGTGATCTGGTACACCATATTGTAAACTGTGAGTCTGTTCCTTTTTGTGATTTCATATATCATTGTCTTATTTTAATTTCTTTTTTTTTTACATTGTGATATTTTTTTTCCGTGTTTTTGGGTTCATATATATATTTGCCACTCGTTTACCTTTCGTACTTGGTATATTACTATGACTGAACAGACACCTAAAGTATTTAAGTTAAAGACTGTGTCCCCACCCTCTTTCCAACTTATGCCTTTCTGGCCAGACAACATCGAAGCCTGGTTTTGTTATGCAGAAGCCGACTTCTACGAGCACGGTGTGAACGATGTGCGTGCACAATTCCTCGCAGTAGTCAAGGCACTACCGCGCGAATTCAACAGGTACGTAACACCTAGTATGTTTACTAGTGATGTTGCTGATCCATACCAAACACTGAAACAGGCCATCCTTAAACGCGGAGATCTAACCGATCGACAAAGGTTAGACCAACTCCTTAACAACATCGACCTGCAACACGGTTCTGCCACAGACATGTTGCAAAGAATGCGAGAAGTCATTGGCCAAAGAACCTTCGATGACGGCCTATTCAAGCAACTTTTCTTATCCAAACTTCCTCAACAGGTGCAAGCTGTCTTGGTCTCGTTCCAAAACAACGCTGTAGACGAACTAGCGGCATCTGCCGATCGCATTCTCGAGATCACTAAGTCTCCCAACGCCGAGATTTTTTCAGTCAAAGAAAAGCCTCAAACGACCCAGAATGACATAACACAGTTGTGTCATACACTTACGCGCTATCTCAAACTCGGTAACGACCGTAAACGATCACTTACTCCGCGGAGAAGCACATCACGTAGGCGATCCGTATCTAGAACTCGAGAGACAGATAATCCTGATTGGTGCTGGTACCATAACCAGTACGGAAAGTCTGCCAGAAATTGCAGAAAACCCTGCAATTTCCCCAATGCGAAATCCGTCGACGCGAAGAACGCTTCGGGAAACTTCTAAGCCGGCACGCGTTAACGGCGACCGTAGCCGGCGAACATAGCCGTCTTTTATATGTCACTGATATGATAACGAGAGTTCGCTACCTCGTAGATACTGGCGCAGAGGTTAGCGTTCTCCCGGCGAATTCCAACGACAGGCTACACGAGCCTGTTTTAAATCTACAGGCGGCAGACGGAAAGCCTATCGCTACTTATGGCCAAAGGTATGTTTATCCTAACGTGGGTTTACGCAAACCCATTCACTGGATTTTTGTTGTTGCAGATGTTTCTATGCCAATCATTGGTATGGACCTTCTACAACACCACAACTTAATTATCGATACGCGCAAACGGAGGTTAGTAGACGGAAACACTAATTTTTCTGTTTGCCTGACTTCTTTTTCTGGTTGCAGGTTATCCCCAGTCACTATTAAGCACACTATAGACCCCTTCTACCAACCACTACTCGATAAATATTCTGGCATTTACCAATCGCAACCGAAATTGCCGTGTGTAACCAGCAATGTCACACATCACATCACGACTACAGGACCACCTGTATTCTCGAAAGCACGCCGACTGGCCCCAGAAAAGTTAAGGTTGGCGAAAAACGAATTCGACCATATGATAAACTTAGGGATCATACGACCGTCAAATAGCCCATGGGCATCTCCGTTGCACATGGTCCCTAAAAAGGACAGCAACGATTGGCGTCCAACTGGTGACTATCGGAGATTGAATGCAAACACCATTCCCGATCGTTACCCGTTGCCCCACATTCACGATTTGACAGCTACCTTGAAAGGTGCAACTGTCTTTTCAAAAATTGACTTGGTAAAAGCTTATAACCAAATTCCTATGGCCACTGAAGACATTCCAAAAACCGCTATTATAACGCCCTTTGGACTCTATGAATTTTCGCGAATGCCTTTCGGTCTGAGAAACGCGGCACAGACTTTCCAAAGGTTCATAGATGACGTTTTTCGAGGTCTCAACTTCGTACATGCATACGTTGATGACTGTCTAATAGCAAGTCCGGACAGAGAATCACATCTCCAGCATCTGGACATTGTTTTCGACCGACTACAAAAGCATGGCATTACCGTTAACATTCAGAAATGCCAAATCGGAACCGAATCCTTAGACTTCTTAGGACACACTATAGATGCGCATGGCATTCGACCCCTTAGAACGAAAGTAGCGGCCATTCTGGATTACCCAGAACCGACCACCATCAAGCAATTGCGCACATTTAACGGTCTGGTAAGTTTTTATAGACGATTCATACCGAAATGCGCGTTACTTATGAAACCCCTTACCGACCAACTTCGTGGAAATGCGAAATCCATTAATCTAGATGACACTACCCGAAAAGCATTCTCCACGGTTAAGGAACATATCGCCCGAGCAGCAATGCTTGCTCATCAGGACCCTAAAGCGCCCATTAGCATCTCAGTAGACGCATCCGACTCAGCAATCGGAGCAGTCTTACAACAATGGGTTAACCACTCCTGGCAACCTTTGGCATTTTTCTCTAGACGGTTGCTAGACACTGAATCGAGGTACAGCACATTCGGTAGGGAACTCCTAGCTATGTATTGTGCTGTCCGGCATTTTCAACACTATATCGAAGGCCGTGAATTTATCATTTTTACCGACCATAAACCACTTACGTTCTCCTTAAGCTCTTCTTCGAACAAGTACTCACCACGTGAGTCTCGACAACTGGACTACATTTCGCAGTTTACTTCAGATATTCGACACATTTCTGGAGCAAACAATGTAGTCGCAGACGCCTTGTCTCGTATAAATTCCTTGAACAGTTCCCAAGGAATCGACCTTTTAAAACTCGCCCAACTTCAAAAAGAAGACAGTGATCTTCAGCACGAGTTGGCCTCAACAACACTTAAACTGCGCATTAAACAGATGGGAACAGGTAAGGAAACCTTACTTTGTGACACATCTACAGGTAGGGATCGCCCAATCGTGCCGAAACAATATCGACGCAACGTCTTCGATACGTTGCACAGACTTTCTCATCCAGGTGTTCGTGCAACCATCAAGCTTATAGCAGAACGGTTTTGCTGGCCTGGTATGAATAAAGATGTGAGGGAGTGGGCACGTTCCTGTGTAAGCTGCCAGAAATCTAAGGTTATTAGGCATAACAAATGTCCCTTAGGCTCGTTTAAAACCCCCGATGCTCGCTTCGATCATGTTCATTTGGATTTGGTAGGACCTTTACCAGATTCAAATGGATATTCTTATCTTTTAACATGCGTAGACCGTTTTACTCGATGGCCAGAAGCAGTACCCATCAGAGATATTACTGCCGAATCAGTGGCTCGCGCCTTCGTCGAGAGGTGGGTAGCAAACTTCGGCTGCCCAACAACCATTACTACAGACCGTGGACGTCAGTTTGAATCTGAACTGTTCCGTTGTCTTACCATGAAACTAGGAATCACTCGCTTTCGAACGACGGCCTACCACCCACAAGCAAACGGGTTAGTAGAACGTTTTCACCGACAACTAAAAGCGTCACTATCAGCCTCAAACATTTCTCAGTGGACTGACGCTCTTCCACTCGTCTTACTAGGCATACGCAATGCAGTGAAATCTGACATTGGATACACTGCATCTCAACTCGTTTATGGTACGACCCTTCGACTTCCAGGAGAGTTCGTGGATCCTTCATCCTCTTCGATGGACATGGATCTAACCTCCTACGCGAACAGGCTTACAAACACAATGCGTTCAGTTAAACCTGTTTCCACTCGACCACAATCAACTGATGTTTTCGTTCAACCTGACTTACTACATAGTACACACGTTTTCGTGCGTCGAGACTCGCATCGACGACCTCTCGAATCAACATATGAAGGACCTTTCAAAGTTCTTCAACGCGAATCTAAGTACTATATAATAGATAAGAACGGAACCAACGAAAGCATCAGCATCGATCGCCTCAAAGCAGCGTATTTAGAAGGAAATCCTATTCACGTCGATTTTCCTTCAATACAATCGCACGACACAACTCCTGCGCTTATAATGCCTCAATCGACAGCAGACACACACGTTGATACTGCGACGGTATCCGAAAATAAACTCAAAACAACGCGTTCTGGAAGAAGAGTAAGATTTCCAGAACACTTGAACGATTACTGCACGTAAGATACAAGTTAACATTTTACATCCTCTCGAATTTCCCTTTGTACTACATATAATTTTTTTTTAAAAAAAAAACCTGAATTTAATATGCTTATATATTATTTTTTTTTGTTTCAAAAAAAAACAACAAAAAAACAACGATATTATAAAAATCTTATTTTACGCTACTACGTGAGCATGAGTTTGTTTTCCTTTTTCTCCGCTTGTTTTGTGTTTTCACGCGCGTACGAGTGTATTCCGACATGCACTTACATATTTTTCTTTTCTTTTCCAGGACGACTGGAAAAGAACGATGAAGTTGCGAAAAACGAAAATCTGCATTGTACCTTTTTTTACTATATTGTACATCATGGTCCATTATAGTAAGGAAAGACGACCAGACGCTGCTAAACCTAGCAAGCTATCAGAAGAGTGTTTACCAACGAAAATCTCGTTGGGTTTAAACTTCTGGCTGGCCACGTCTTAGGGTCATCACTACCCCACTAGGGGGGGAGTGATCTGTAGCGGTAAATAATTCCCCAAAATCAAATAGCTCTGTAAGTTTTCGACATTGGATGCTGACCATAGTTTTAGTGGACTCATCTAGCGGAAGGCGCTCGGTCAAGCATCCGCACCAGATCACGTGTGGGAACGCCGTGCTCAACATCTGCCTCAATCGCTAGCCAGATTAGTGCCAACGATCCTCGATATATTGATAGCTTATCAAATATATCTTCGATCTCCTCGCTTCTGTCTTTTGATTTTACTTGGTGGGTGCGCTTCGTATTAGAAGGTGTGACTGGTTAAAGCGTTGTCAAACTCTGAATACCTGTGGCATCTTCACTGTCATACATTATAAGATAGAGATGAGTATGTTTGGTGTTTATTCGTAGACTGTACATCTAGCACTGACCATATTCCAAGATCACTGTCATTAAATAATTTACCCAGCAATAACATCAGTAGCAGGATAGCTAAGTATCTGAGCTTTTAGTTGCCTGCAAAACAGCAGTATGCAGTCCTAGAAGAGGAGTTATCTGAGTTAATTAAGTGCTGCTGCCCGTGTACAAATGTTAAAAATCTCTTTGACAACTGGGACTTTTAGTTCATCAGACACGAAATCTACTCGTATATCTTCCTGTAAAACCAGACGCATATGCCTGGGAATACTTAAATGGGAGCAGACCCACAAAACTAATTGTTTCCGGGACAAATTTTTGCTGCTACAAAGTTGTCTCTACAGAATAATAAGCAGGGAGTGTTGCATATAAGTAAACTGAAGAATATCAAAGCGAATGAAAGAAACCAAGAGTGTTAGTATGAACCCATATCAGTGATACTGGTGCGAGACCCTGTTAGTTTCAGGATCAAGGGCGACGATGTTGCCTTAAATCTTCAGAAGATTCCCGAAACTGCGTTAACTGACGATTCACGAGAATGTTTGATGACATTGCCAGTGGATATCATTGTGTGATAAGTGTAACTGTTCTTACTTAAAAAGAACTATCTCAATGGGCTTCATCCGGCGGATATTGGACATTTGAGGCTAGCCAAGATTTAAAAGGTGCGTAACAGGTAGGAGTGATTCTTATTGCCTATGTTCCTAAGTATTTAGAGTTACTTATTTGGTTGATCTTCTTTTTGTTTCACTTACACATTTACATTGCCTGTAATCTGTCCTAGATTTTGTTTTTCACCTAGATGGACCCCTCTATCATCGAAAATTTTTGCAGTATTACTGGGACGTCTGAAATGGAAGCTAAACATTTTCTAGAAGCTTTCGATTGGAATTGCGATGTAGGAATATCGGAGTTTAAACTGACCCTTTGTTTTAGGAGGCAGTCAAAGCGTATTTTGATTCTGAGGATGCTGTTCAGTCAAGCGATGTTTCTCATTCCGACCAAAGTACTGAACCACCGATTAAAAGCAACAAAGAGCCTTCAGTTTCTACATTTAATCGACCACCACACAGCAAGCCTAAAATAGCAACTTTGAGTACCCTGGAAAATGACAGGTAAGATTACATGTCTTATTTGTTTTGGTAAATTTAAACAAACATGTTTGTTTGAACATATCACATTAATTATAGTTTCACCGTAAATTCTTCTCTACTTTTGAGCTTCAACTATCGGGTTATTTTTTATAGCAGTGTTTTTGAGTGTTTAATCAATGCCCTAGCGCTTAGTGCGACACCAACGTCAGCAAAACCAGACGAAGATGCCACAGAGTCCCCAGATAAACGCACGTGAAACAAGCTTTTCTATGCGACGGATGGAGAGCGCGAATTTGTAGTACTTTACTAGATTCCTGAGTGCGGATCTCGGACAGACAACAAACGTTGACGTTGAGACTTTCTAAAGACATAGTCAACCCTATCCGCAGTTCGATCTGCATTAGTGTGGAAAGGTTGAAGGAACCCATTTTGAATGGACGAATGTAACCGAGTAGTTATGAGTATAATTTATGAGAATTAAAATTGACGCAAGCGTAATTTATTCTAGTTGAAGTTATTATTACATTTGTGTGAGGTTTGGGATATTACTCAGTGTTCATCTGTACTTTTCGGCCGACTGATATCCTCCTTAAATCACATTAGGGATCTCAAGTGAAATGCTAAAATATTACAGTCTAAGCTAACTGTGAATCTACTGCTCCATGTGTTGTTGTAGTCACAGTCTTTTTATTTTACCGAACCAATAAGTCGTTGACGTCGATCGTTCATATTCAGTAAAGCTAGCGTTTACTAACGTTGAAGTTTATAGCAACATTTACCTGCTTACTTCGGAAAGTAAGAAGTAACTGGTTAAACTAAATAAAGGTATTAGGCTGCATTTTAATATTGGGGAGTCGTTGAACCAGTCAACAATCTAATAAGAGCTGGAAATCAGCTAGTTTATGGCGTAGTTATGAATGTATCGATCATATTTCTTTTCACGTGATTCTGAAGTACAAGAACACTCGCTAGTCCGTTTTCCTGTATGAGGATGGTAAGTGATCGTGTCAACGCAGTGTATGACAAAAGAAACTAGTCAATGTATATTGTTAGTAAAGTATGTGCTGATGCAGTTGTACACAAAGATGCTATCAAGAAATGTGGTTTGCTTAACATCGTAAAAATCTTCAAAAGTTTGGCAGATGTTTTTTATCACTGAAACAATAGATAATTCATAATTCTACATCAAGTTATAAAATAGTGAATGAAGTAGTTGAGTCCTATGACCTTGTAATTTATCTAGGAAGTTCTTTTTGACCGTAATTATTTATAAGTCAACCAAATATCACTGGATAAAATGGGTCAGCCCCCAAATGTCCTGGTACGGCCGAGAGTGGGGAGAGTCCGCTCTCCCTCTCGAAATGCTCACACATGGCCATGCGTATATAGCCTCTTCCAGGGAAGACTTACTCACTGCCTTCACGTGGCGGGGGTGTTGTTTACGAAAATGAGAGGACGAAAAGCGAATGTCCGGCGCTTTAACTGGATCCCAAACCAATGGTGTACATGGGCCCTAGTATCCTGAGGGAACAAATGGCGTATGAACCAATCGTTGGTCACCGGCTACCATGGGCCTGCATCCTTACGATGCTCCACTGCCTTGTGGATCAGATCTTCAGGTCGAAGGCTCGGGGTGTGGCCCCCTAAGAAAACCACCTGCTTCGGTTTGGGCACCCGGGCAGTATCACAGCCCTCACACATATCAAATGAGATTTGTGTGGCGCATATGTATTTGGTGCCTCCTTGTACCAATACCTATGTGTTAAAATAAAATAAATAAATAAGGACTTGCATCATTCATGACATCTGACTACGTCTATTAATATTAGGTTGTTGGATAAAATGAATTATTTACTATCACCCAAAAAGCCTATGATGCTGAGTGATATGCGAGTACGTAAGTGGAGTACTGAAGGCAGTTGGCTCCTGGTTTATTGTTGATCCAAGCAGTTCAGAAGAAAGGTCTGTTAACTGAGTGAAACTATCGTTTTGGACACCCGGGCAGTATCCCAGCCTTCACAAAAATCGAATGATTCATGTGGCGCATATATATCTAGTGCCTTCTTGTATCAATGTTTATGTTTATATAAATAATAAATAAAAATAAATCGAAAAATTAGAGATCATAACTCAGGTTTTAAATGACATGGGTATTAACCGGTTAAAATAGCGTAAAGGGATTCCCTCTTTGTTTTGGATCCTATTACATATGTTTATTCGTACTGCTTAGCTTTGCCTTGATATTTCTACTAACCTTGTTTGTTAACTTCTTTTTCTTGTCCCGTGTTTTGAAGCAAATCTGAATTAGTGCTTTTTTCTTTATTCTTGACAGTCAGCTGTACAAACGTATTTGGAAGTACTTATTAATTTTAGCTCATGAAAGTTGTTTCTTTTCTGCTGCCACTTGGAAATGCTCCCTAATTGTCCTGTAGTATTAAAGTTTAGTAGTTAAAGACTGTAAAGAGATTAAATAAGTACCACATTCGTCGACTTAATTAATAGTATCATTAAATTGAAATGATGGGCCAATTACAGTTCCTCTTTGTTATTTTGTTTATAAAGTGCTACTTGGTGACATGAATGTGTCGGCCTTTACATAAAACTAGATAGGTCTTCTTGTATACCAACCAAATAAGTTTGTAAAATGGTCATTAATTCGTCTCAGTTCACCTTTATTTATCAAGGACATTTAATTTATGTCATCAAAAAACAAGCTTTCTTCTGGGGTCCACAAGGTTCTTTTTACTGATTATCATGAATGTAGCAATCCTGAGTGTTAGTCATATGACACGTGTTTGCTCACCATTTTGTCTCATAATCGAACTCCTTTCCACTAGTTTACGGATTCATTTATTGTCAACCTTTTACAGCACAGATTGTCGTTGGTTTTGTGTTAATCGTTTTCATTTGTCAAAACTGAAAATAGTTGCGTAATGATAACGCTATTCCATTTTTCTTTATTTAGTGATGATGAGTCAGATAAGGGACAGGCATTTTATGTTGGTGGTTCAGAGACTGGAGGTGGTGGCCAACAAGTCCTTGGTCCTCCAAGACGTGATGGTACTAAGAAAACTCATGACCCTTCCCAAACTCCCGACGTTTTCATCCGTAATCTTTTTCAAGCTGCTAGAGGTAAAGGAGCAGAAGTGCTGGATACACACCAATACAATGAATACAAAAGTAAATCAAAAAAACAATTGCCTTTTAGTGGAACTGGCTACAAGTAAGAGAAATTTCGGATGAGAATTATGCGCAATACCATAGTCCATTAATTTTCTTATGATGTTAGATTTTCTTAATTTCCTCACTTATTATGGTTCATTGTCATTTTATGCAGTGTCTCTACTTGCACCACAGTATTGATATTTTTAACGATGAGTCTGAATTGTGACGTGCTACGCGTCCTGCGTTGTATTACTAGTTGCTATCAAAACTTAGAATCAGCAAATGAAATCAACCCTCAAATGCCCTGGTATGGCCGAGAGTGGGGAGAGTCCACTCTCCCTCTCGAAACGCTCTCACATGGCAACGCTTATATAGCCTCTGCCAGGGAAGACTACACATGGTGCATGAGATCAATTTAAAAGTTATCTGGTTGTCAACTAAGAATCAATAGCAATCACTAATCTTACTCGAAGATCCATAATATTTTTTAGTCATCTTTCAAGTTTTGACGAAAGAGCAAAACTTATGGAGAATACGTTTAGCAACGTTGAGATCAAATAGGTGTAACACAAAATCGGTCCAGAAATTCCCTGGTAAGTTTGAGGGTGGGGAAAATCTGCTCTTCCTTCTCGAAATCCTTTCATATGTCGATGCCTGGGAAGTCCTACTCACTATCTTCTCGCCGCCGGGGTGCTATTTTACAAAATCGTAGGGACAAGAAGCGAATATCTGGGGCTTAAAGCTCATCAGTGAGTACGAAAGTTACACCTGACGAATTTAGGCACCCAAAAAGCGAGTTTGTATTACGTTACCATTCAGAGGCGACACAAATAGTCTCATGTTGAAACGGAGACTTAAATTAGCCATCAACCGGACATTTTATGCAGCCCAACTTGTCATTATCGAAAAGACAAAGTGTATGTTTCACCAAAAGCCCAAACAGAATGAATGCGATTGTGTCACATCCCACTGTGTCTATCAATTTACACGTATGTGCGGAAAGACGTACATACGGAGGAGCAATCGTAATTTGCAATTCAGGGTGGGTGAACACTTACTAAAATGGCTGCAGAAGCAAATGAATACCAATGGTCAAATAAGATCACAGGATAGATAGACATCATCCTCCATTGCGAAACATTTGTTTGAGACGAGTCATAAGGTCGACATCAAATCAGCATTTGTAGTGTTATACAAAAGCCTTCAAGGACGTATACTAAGGTTTATTGAAGCCTTGGCTATACGGAAACTAAAGCCCTCTTTATGTGTTCAAAAACAATTTGTCCTTACACTTAACCTACCCTGGTAATACTGATTTATTATCCAGAGTGGTAATCACATTTGTTTTGTGTACTTTAATATTTTTTCCTTTGTTACGACTTACCCTTAACCTGTCTAGTTGACCTTTTATTTTTATATATAAATGCTCTTTACAAGTATATGTGTGATCAGATTGTTCGAAATGTATTGCGCTAATATATCACATAATTCTGATAAACTTCGTCTTCTCATTGCATTATCGAAATTTATCAAAGGGACTAACTGTTTTGAATTTAGGAAACCCTAATTTCAAACCATTGGTGCACATGGGATCTAGTTTCCCGATGAAACAAAAGGCGTTTGAACCTGTTTCTGGTCATTGGCTACCATGGAAACGTGTCTCCTAGCGTTATTCTACTGTCTGGTGGATTAGATCTCTAGGATAAAGACTCGGTGAGTGGTCCCTCGATTTGGGCGCTTGGGTAGTATACCAACGCCCACACAAATGTAATAATAACTTCAACTAGAATAAATTACGCTTGCGTCAATTTTAATTCTCATAAATTATACTCATAACTACTCGGTTACATTCGTCCATTCAAAATGGGTTCCTTCAACCTTTCCACACTAATGCAGATCGAACTGCGGATAGGGTTGACTATGTCTTTAGAAAGTCTCAACGTCAACGTTTGTTGTCTGTCCGAGATCCGCACTCAGGAATCTAGTAAAGTACTACAAATTCGCGCTCTCCATCCGTCGCATAGAAAAGCTTGTTTCACGTGCGTTTATCTGGGGACTCTGTGGCATCTTCGTCTGGTTTTGCTGACGTTGGTGTCGCACTAAGCGCTAGGGCTGAGGCAGTACTAGTCCATTAGATCCCTATTAATAGTTGGTTATATGGTATTGGATTAGAAAACTCAATCAAAGTGAGAAGAAATTGGTGTGAGATACGATTTCTCTTCGTTATCTTCGCCTACACTCTGACAGATTGTAGCTCAATGCTATCAAGGATGAGTTTTACCATCGGTTAAGGGTTCTTATATAGAAAGTGCGTTCAACAGATATTGCAGTAATATCTGGAGACTTGAATGTGGATGTCGAACATATAGGCGCAGAGAAGAGTCGTTTGGTTGACTTGATTGATTGCCGCTCTTTTTGAAGTACTTTTCTGAATTCTGATCATGCTTTTGTTTGTGCTAATCTTATCTTATGTTTCAATCGCCAACAAATTCATTTTCCTTAACTAGTCGGTGCAAGCAAACTGACTGTAGATTCTGTTGCAACTAAATCTCAAACCAACCTAAGTTATGAGCTAGCTATCGACCCACCGGAATGTACAGATGAGTACTGACTACATTTGCATTACTCCATGAAAATGGAGGTTAAAGTCGCTCGCGGATACGCGAAATATCCCGCTTATAAGCATTGGGTTGCTACAGGCTCCTTACAACTTATTGAGAAATGTCAGCTTACTCAGTGTAACTATGAGTTTAGCGATAACCGTAGATTGTTACTCAATGGAACTATGCAAAGCTTGCGTAAGGGTCAAGAAGCCTGGCGGTTGAAGCGTGCTAACGAGTTTGAAACAGCAACTGGATCTGGTAAATGCTGGAAGCCTTTTCGACTCATCCGAGTCACTGGCAGCAAGGAGTCTTGTGTGAGTGAAACAATCTGTGAAGCTGACAGGATGCCAACCAATAACATCGACCGACATCTTGAACGATGGACAAAGTTGTTCGAGGGACATCGACCAGACTGTCCTGTCCTTTGTGGTCGGTGACGACTGATTCACTTAACGAGATGGAAGTGCACAAGCAACTCTTCAAATTACCAGACCCAGATGACTGTCCTGCAGCCCTTTTTAAAGATGGTGACGACCTGATTATGGGACTGACTAAGTTGTTTACAAATTCCTTATAATTCGAGAGTGTTTGAACGTCGTTAAATTAATCGATAGTTGTTCTTATGTTTAAAAAGGGTTCACGTTGTTTCTGCAGTAACTATCGTGGGATAACATTCCGAGTTTGTCTAAACTGTTGACTTTCGTCATAGTTTGTAGATTGTTCAAAACCGAAGAAAAATCGGCTCACAAGGAGCAGGCGGATTTTCGTCTTTGTCGAGGATTTATTAATCATATCTTCACCCTCCACCTAACGTTAGAACACCGTCATACTTATCAAAGGCCAACAATCGTAGTATTTCTTGACAACAGGGCGGCCTTCGATTTGTTAGTCAGGACTTTTCTCTGGGATTATCAATTGAAGAAGTGTATGCTTGAGATGTTTATTAACATCTTGAAAACCCTATACGCTAACACCTCAGGGAGAGTGAGGGCATAGAACCATCTCTCTCCATTGTTTTATTTAGGTAGTAAGGTTAAGAAGGGTTGTTTAGTCTCATCATTCCTCTTCAACTTTGCCATCGATAATATTTTGGAAATAGGTGTGGTCGAAGTAGGTTGTGTTGCAGAAAGGTTTTCGTACCTGGAGTATGCGTATGACGTTGTCTTACTGCGCAATGATACCCAAGCCATGCAATCTACACGTAATCATTTTGTCGTCCATAGGTATGACATGTGTTTTGTACCTCCCAAGTGCAAAGCACTTTTAAAGGGCTTGCAGGACCTTGAACCTGCACGCACTCTTGGTAGTGAGCAGATAGAAGTAGTCGAGAAGTTCATATATCTGGGTAGCTGTATAAGTGTCGGTGGAGGCGTGAGTGATGAGATCAATCCACACATAGTAAAGGCCAGAGCGGCTCATGCCAATCTGGTCCATCTTTGGCGCTTTCATAATGGTAGTCTGGTTTTGAAAGGTCAGATTTACGACGCGTCGGTGAAAGCAATTTTACCCTATACTTGTGAAACCTGGCCTCTTCGGGTTGAGGATATTAGACGAATTTCTGTGTCTGATCGTCGTCGTCTCCGAAGGATTGCTGACATTCAGTGGCAACGTCATGTTGGTAGGGCAGAGGGTGTTCGGGCACACTGACGATAGTTCGATTGGTGTCACCTTGAAACACCGACTTCGGTAACTTGGATATGTCCTACGAATTCCACACCGTGGATTATTTGCCGACGTTGGGATTGGTTGGAAGAAGCGGAGAGGTGGTTAGTGCACGATATGGTGTCCTGGTATGAAAGAAACCTGTACGGTGCTATGACCTGCCATTCACGTCTACGGTTTTAAGACTTGATGATACAGTGTCTTGAGATGTTGTCAGATACGGCTCAGAATATAAGCTGGTAGCGATTCTACCGCTACTTTCTTTTATTTCATGTAGGGGAGAGAATTCTTTTCAACTAAAATGATTCCTCCTGGTTGTTTTGTCTTTGACTAAACTGCTTCTCTGATTATCACTTATTATTATTTTCATTATTATTACCATTATTACTATTGTTAGTATTATTGTTACTATTAGTTTTCTATTTGTCTACTCACCTCTCCTTCTCTATCTTTTCTTAATGTCATTTTTATTGTGTGCATATGCATATTTTAGTATCATTTGTAACAATGTTTCTGTGTTCAAATAAATCAATAAAACACGAAAGCTGCAATTCAGATTAGGCATAGTGAAATTTTCCCATATGTGGTTCGAAATTAATATAGCTTCTACTTAAAAGCCATCTTAATTTATTGTTACTCACACTGTCAAAACAATTAAAATCCAGTCTTCCGCCTACATTGAAATTTTTATCAATATTTAACTGCCATCTACTGATCTCGGAAATCCGTAGCTGAAGCAATTTATTGTAACCATATTGAAAGGCTATGTTTGTTAATCCTTTTGAATGACTTTAGGATCATGACATATGTGGTTTTCGAATTTGAAGTATCTATTCATTGCATAACTGTTGACAGATTCTGTCGTATTTGTTGATATAGCTTTAGTATTACTCCGAAGTTCTTGTTGCTTCTGACATCTCGAGGTAAGGATAATTCAATAAGTGTTATCAGTAAGATGTTATCAGCCCATGAGGTTACTGCCTTCCGTTTTATGTTATATTGAGAGATTTTAGCTTTCTGGTGTAGACCTCAGTGATATTCGTAATCTATCGTTGGACATTAAGTGATAGGGTTTTTATTAGTTAATGCCGAGACGATTGTATTTGTTAGCCGTTTTATAAAGTTCGCCCTCATTGTTACTTTGTATGCTTCATTCTTCGATCCCATTAGTCCCTTTTGAACTACATCTCTTATGTTTGGTGTCCCACTACTGTAAATACTATCATTTCCACTTATTGATCTTTCGTTTCATTACTTTTCTCTCTGTGCGGTGATATGAGGTGTGGAGTATTAGACTGGTACACATTTTCCTAGGTCCTACGTTTTGCATGCATGGCTGATTATTTTGTTCATACTTGTGCTTTCCAACTGTCAGTCATGGAATTCGTACATGGTAATTAGTCCTTTTGGTTCTATTTGCCGCGACTGTTCGCTTGTATTCTTCAATTTACGATGTCCATGTTTATTAAATGTCGTTTAAGCTGTTGTTGTTTAAGCGCTTTTTGAAAGATAAGAATGAAATAATCACGTACAAATGTGTTTATTTCTCTCTTGTTTAGGCTTGGTGATGATCTTAATGCTCCCCCCCAACTCGAGGCAACTACTGCGAGCAGTTCCAGTGCAAACGATGTCTCTGAAAAAAACGTTGTTGTAAAAATGTGGCGTGATGGTTTTAGTTTAGACAGTGGGCCGTTACGTTCATATACTGATCCGGATGCTTCTGAATTTTTGAATGCAATACAGAATGGTCAAATCCCTGAAGTTAGTGTCTTTGGTTAGGATTACTCGTCTTTTCCTTTTATCATGTTTATTATTTGACGTTGGATGAAATTTCATACTTTTGTATTAACGTCGGGATTGTAGAAATCTGAAATTAGAATATCTGTCTTTGTCATTAAATAGCAACACAGTAACGTGAGAAGAATTTAAGTAGTCATATCGGCGAGACTCTAATTTAAGGACGAGCCAATCAGAAGCGTTTGAGCCATTTCAAGGTCACGGAGCCAAGTTTAACGCATGATGCTTACATACGATCGGTTTACAGCGGATTTTAGAGAAGAGGTTATTATTGAGAGGCTACAAGAGATGGGACTACTAAGAAGTTCTTGTACGTGTGACTGCAGTAAAGTGTGCAGACCACCGCCCTGAGATTATATTCCGTTGTCCTTCATGTTGGAGGAAAAAGTCTGCTAGAACGGGGACTTTCTTTGCTCGATCGCGACTAAAATTGAGGCAGATCATGATAATAGTTGCGAATCGGGTAATAAAGACACCAGTAACACTGGCTGCGGCATCTGCAGATGTTACTGAAACCTCAGCAGTCCAGTGGTATGAGTACTGTCGTGACATATGCGCAACTAAAATGACAAGTATACACCAATCATTCTGAGGAGTAGGATGTATCGTGGAGATAGATGAAACGGTAGTGAGAAAGATAAAATACAACAGGGGGCGTAGTATAAAGGAAGATTGGGTAAGTAGCATTTTCGTAAATATACTTGACAGGTATTTGGGATTTATGATAGATCAACTCGAAAGGGACATTTTCAGATGGTCACAAACCGGCAAGCAACCACAATAATACCAATAATACAGGAATACGTGCTGCCGGGTACTACGATATATACGGATGACTGGAGAGCATATAGATGTCTTCAAAGACTTGGATATGTCCATCACGTTGTAGTCCACAAACGTCATTTCGTCGACCCTAAAACCGGGGTTCATACTAATAACATTGAAGCGATGTGGTCAAGATTGAAGAAGTTTTTAAGACCATATCACGGCTGCAAAGGTCGACTATTATGGAGCCATATGGATAAGTTCTTATACCGTATGCAATATGATTTCAAAACATCTGAACCTTTATCGAATCTTAACAAGTTTTTAAAACATATAAAAGAAGTATATCCACTGTAATTCATTAGTTTCTTCTAATATATTTTTACTTTATACTAACTGTTTTCTGATTGGCTAATATTCTCAAGGTCATTTAAAATTCGTTCAGAGGTCGTCCCTGAATTAGAGTCTCGCCCACTCATTGATGGCTGATGTAAGAATAGGTTGGGAGAAACTTAGGAGCGTCTAATCCAAAGCATGTGATCACTCCATGACTACGCTGGCTCTTGGTTCGAGTCATATGAGTGGGCGCAGATTACCTGGTTGAGGGGTCTGTGTAGTCATCGTATCCGGTGATAAGAGACCTTGGGCGATATGGCTCAAAATCGCTCGCAATGGCGCAGGTGTATTCACTTTTTGCCTTATCTTAAGTCCTACGTTTGTAAATTCTTCATAAAATTATATTTTCTCGAATTATACCTTTTATTACTAATCTCTTCTACTACCATTAATACTGTTTCTACCTTTACTACTTTGAGATTTGCCCTAGAAATTTCATCCTACTGTGCTAATGGTGTTTTTATTTATTTATTTATTTATTTTAACACATAGGTATTGGTACAAGGAGGCACCAAATACATATGCGCCACACAAATCTCAATTGATTTGTGTGAGGGCTGTGATACTGCCCGGGTGCCCAAACCGAAGCAGGTGGTTTTCTTAGGGGGCCACACCCCGAGTCTTCGACTTGAACGTCTGACCCACAAGGCAGTGGAGCATCGTAAGGATGCAGGCCCATGGTAGCCGGTGACCAACGATTGGTTCATACGCCATTTGTTCCTTCAGGATACTGGAGCCCATGTGCACCATTGGTTTGGGATCCGGTTAAAGCGCCGGAAATTCGCTTTTCGTCCTCTCATTTTCGTAAACAACAGTAATGCCACGAGAAAGCAGTGAGTAAGACTTCCCTGGAAGAGGCTATATACGCATGGCCATGTGTGAGCATTTAGGGTATGGTAACTTGAACTGATATACACATGTTCCAGGTTTTACTTTGCGCTTGACTTACTGACTCAATAGTTTTCGAAAAAAGCTTGCATTAGTTTCGTACATACGTCCTCCTGTGTCAAATACGTGTTCCTATACTCCGTACCCATAAGGATATAAAACAGCGTAAGGCAACGATAGTTATTTCATTCAACTATTTTCCTAAGCTCTAACTTTAATAGTTCATAATCTTGGCGTCATTCATGTTGGAAATAATTCTTATCTAGAAAATTACAAATATATACATATATCCCTTGATTGCGTCGATATTTTTTAGTGTCCGTTGCGTGACTCCAATATTCACGGATGATAATGATACCAATGAAATGTATATCCTGTGTAACTTCGTGTAAATTCCGTTGATATATCCCGTTTATAGCGTCTAAGATGTAAAAAGTCAAGAACAAAGTAATTTGCAGAACGTGTATTTTGAACGTCCTAATATTGAGCTTTAGACAAGCAACAAAAGATGCAGCGATTGTGTGTAGTATTGGAGTTTGGTAATATACCCACTCAGAATATTAAGGTGGCTCTGTTTTTATAAGTGCTACCATAAACACGTATAGAATGCGATCAAGGTTACACGTGAATAACTGTCAGGGGCAAATATTTGGCTGACAGAATAAATGGGAAGATTAGAATAATTCATCCATACAATGGTTAGAATAAATCAAGTAGGCGTGTTACAATACTCATTGTAACAACTTAACCGAACTGTTCGGTCTAAAGTTGGGGTAAACCAATTGTGGTTTTCAGGGTACAGTCTAATTGTCGTTAATTTAATGGTTGTTCAGTATTTGTCACCATGGCTTTCATCTGATTTCACCTGGTACGTGTATAATATTTATTAAATGTGATCGCCTTACATTTAGACTTTAATTAAGTACATAAGTATAACTGAATATTGTTTTCTAGTTGATTATGGAAAACTCTCTTACCTGTAGGAACTTTTAAAATCTGCTGGTGGAGGTATGGTCAATGTTATGCTCGAAGATCATCATCATGAAGGGTGGCAGGCTCCTTCTGCTCCTAAGATCATACCTTTTTCTGGCGTAGGACAAATGCTTGGTTCTCCGCTTCCTCACTTAGTCTCAAGCGTTCCAACTAAAGTCAATATCAATGAAAACCATGAACCTGGTGTTACAGTAGACGATACCAAACCGGTAACACAAATTCAGATCCGATTACCTGATGGATCGAGGTAAACCATTTATTGTATGCTATATAATAGTATTGATAATTTGTGTCAGTAACATTTAGCATCTCATTAATAACGTCTAGTATAATAATTTTGATTGGATCTTTGAAAGTTATATATAAAATATACTCTGCTCTATTTCATTTATCATTTGATTTTTTTGGTCGTAAACAAATTTCAGCGCTTTTATGAAAGATACCTGTACCCCGAACTGGAATATATGAAACCAGATTTCATTCGAATAGTTATTAGCAAATGCTTGAGTATCTGACGATATGCTTCATGTGGAAAATGGTATTGATTTTTGTAAATAAACTTAGTTTTATGAAATTAATTGAATACTAAGCTTGTCGTGTTCCAATTAGTTTATATAAGCTAAATCCATCGTTTATTTCTTATCTTGTCGTATTTAAATAACAAATAACTTTTTTGGATATAAGACTTATGTGTGAAACATGCAAGAATAAATGACCACTTGGTTAAGCTATACTTCAATTTCATACGAATTACCTTTCTTTGAACTAATGTGTTTTACTACATGTATTGTGGTGTGCTACTTATGTAGACATAAGGAAAGCGAATTTCCTGCGATTTAACGGGGTTGGTGGATACGGAGTTCACTTAGGGAAGTTGGAAAACCGTGGTTCCAAACAAATGGTGCATATAGACTCCAGTATCCTGTGGAAACAAATGGCGTATGAACCTACTGTTGGTCACCGGCTACCATGGGATTGCATCTTTTGACGTTGCTCCACCACCTTGTGCACTAGACTTTTGGGTCGAAGGCTCGGTGAGTGGCCCACTAAAAAAACCACCGGCTTCAGTTTGGGCATCCGAAAAGTATTCCAGCCTTCACACAAATTGAATGACTTGTGTGTCTCATAAACATTTGGTGCCTCCTTGTACCAATGTTTATGTGTTTAATTAAAATAAAATAAAAACGTAATCGTTCATCTAAACATTTATGGCTCTAAGAATATCTGCAGAACAGTTCATTTTTTATTTTATCACTAGTTTTCTTTGCGTAGATGCTCATGTATTACTTCTAGTTCCTTCTAGCTTGGTAACCATGGACTAATTGATGCACTTAATCTTGTTAATTGATAAGCATAGTACTGAACTATCTGAAAGTCAACAAAAAAGCAAAGTAATCGATAGAAGTTCGCGTCCTAGCTCATCTGCATAAAAAAGATCAGTGTTATATAACCATAGAACTTTGACAGTTCACTGAGTTAAAAATATGTAATTTTTAAGATAACTCAAATGAATATTATCATTTTCCTCGACTGATAACACTGAAAGAGGTTGATTAAATAAAAATAAGGTGGAGGTAGATTTTATTTGTTTATGTAGAATACAAAACGTCATATAGCGGGATCGTCTGTCGTTATCCTATGATGTATTCCTAATATTGTCTCAATCGAATTGGTTTGGATGACCTATAAGACCTTCATCAACAAATGATACTTCAGGAGATTGTAACTAGAAATCAAATGTCAAAACTAACTTTTTATCCTTGTTTCGTTTTATCCTGGCTTTGTCTAACCATGCTCACAGAACATCTAGAGATGGCATCATCAAGAAGGAGTGGAAATGATAAGTTAGCTCTAGTTGATATAATTGCACCTTAGATACAAAATGTTCTTGAAACTTGATCTTTTACTGTTTCAGATTTGTGATCCGTCTAAACAATTTTCACACAATTGGTGATATCAGAAGAGCAATCATCAGGTAGTTTTGCTGTTTTTTTGCATTTTGTGTTATATGACTTGTAAGTAGCTTAAAACTTTATAAAACATTTATGGTTGGAGAGCAATTTTTTATCAATTTCATTATGTTCCATGAACTTTGTTACCATAGAACAAATTATTTACTTTAGTTTAACAATCTATGGAAATCATTTGCAAGTGGTGTTTCCGAAGTTACATTTATCTCAGTTGTGATGTAAGAAAATCTCCTAAATTATTTGCTGGTTTTTTTAAGGTAAAAAAACGTTCTTTATCATATGGTAATAGCTTTTATCTTTAGTATACGTTGAATCTCGTTTCATTGCCTGACCACTTAATGGTTTTACAAGTGCTCTGTCAATTCACAAATTTCATCTCAAACACAAATACCCCGGAAATGCAACGTTCAGACTGATTTTCCACCTTCTTGTTACCGAGTTTTCGATTGAGTTGTGGTCATGAAGTAAATTTGACGCGTAATATCTGCTTTTGTACTCAGACGTAATTTTCTTTTACAAGGTTCTTTTTGCATGAGTATATTTCAACTTGTATGTAAATAAAATTAGTCAGCTAATAAAGTATTTTTAAAATGTGATTAGCACTATTTAGTCTGACAGTGCAATATTTATTATGTTTCTAAGTTAAGTTAGTTATTCCTGCTCATCATAATAGGAGAATCCTATTAGTCGTCTAGAAAAAAGAAGAGCCTACTTGTCACTTGAAAAAGCAAAGTAAACGAACCTGTTACAGTTCACATTCCGGTTTTTATGCATATTTTAGGATTTTTATGTTATCACTGAATTAATTACTTCACCATATGCATAGTGGAGAGCATACATGACTAGTATTCTTTTTATTTAATTTGTTTCATTGTTTTGAGTACATGATTTAGTGACTTATGCTTTCGTTAAAATAATTTTGGACTTATAAGGCTTGACATATACAAATGTGCATGATCAGATATGAACTGATGACGTTGAATGGAAATTATGATGAACTCTTTGTAATTAAAAGATTTTTTGTTTCAGTATATGTAATTCATTGTAAAATTTCATGACAATCACTTATTGTCCTATTATGGTTTGATCTAATATAAATTTTCTTTGACGTGAAACGATTACATTTATTAAACATCCTTTTTAATACCTTTTATTTTAAGACTGAATGCTTTATTTTCACATCATATAGCACTGAGTTGTGTAATCGGTACAAAGTGTCGTTCTAAAGATCTGTTATCATCTTTTAAACACAAATGTTTAATACTATTTATATGAACCAAACATACCACAGATATCTAGCACAAAGTTTTTTTTTTCGAATACTATTTTCTAGTATCTAAACCGTGAATTATGCTTCTACTAATTACATGTATATATATAATCCGGTGTATAATTATTCGTCTATTTACCATCAAATACGATCATGTTTATTCTTGGCTTTATGTTTCTGTCTATAAATACCGTCTATAATATTGAATAAAGCCATAAATAAATAAAAAAAATAATATATTCAATGTGTTCATATTTTCATACTTTCACTATTTCCCCCCTGTTCTTTTCCTTTGACACACTGTTATTACATTGTCATCAAGAAAAAGATCTCTATCTAGCGTGATTTACACAATATTTAAAATAAGTCCAAATATCTTATTTTCAATTATAATGTTTATTATTCATTTAATTTATTTTATTTAGTTAATTATTTATTTATTAATAACTATTATCACTTAAATAATTGTAACTTGACATTTCACCTGTTGTGTTTCGTTTTGTATTTACATTAATATTTTGATGATTTTAAATAATTCATTCATTGGATGTTATTTATTATCATTATTATTATTACTAGGGTATTCCTTTTTGCTGAAGTCAGTTAGCTTTTTCATTTTTTCCTTACTTTAACTTCTTCATTATTCTAGTCATAAGTGTATTGTTATTTTAATTCAGAACTGAAATTTCTAGGTTTTAATCAAGGTGTGATTACTATTATTATTTTTTTTTAAGTGTTACTAATAACTATTAAAATGGATATATTGTTGTTCTCTTTTTACTATACGTATAAAAATATAAAATTTCAAAAACAAACGTTAACTATTCTTCGAATGCATTTGTATTGTTCAGGTTGTTATTCTTATTATTGTTTTTAAAATTAAAATCTCTTTGTCTGATTATCAATTAATTTTATTATGGATATAATATGTTTTGATATATTTAAACTTTATCTTTTAATATTGACGATACTTAGTTAGATTTTAGCTAATGAACTGATAATTTGAGTTTTCAACCAGGATTTCATAAATTTAAGTAACTATGTAGTGATATAATGAATATCACACAAACAATATGCTTTAATTGGGTATCATTACCAAGGTTTGATTTGATAATTTCGAATAAATTGAACATTGGGTAGGTTGTTATAAATAAATAATAGATTTGTAATATCCCAATGAGTAGAAAAATTGGATTTTCCGACGTTTTGTGACTTATTGTAAGCCACTTCTTCAGAGAATAAATAACTAAAGTCTTTAAAGAAGTGGCTTACAATAAGTCACGAAACGTCAGAAAACCTAATTTTTCTACTCATTGGGATATTACAAATATATTATTTATTTATTTATAATATGCTTCAAGGTTGAGTATATATATATATACTGTATACGTAAATTACCAATTAATATAACTCAAAGTTTAACTTGATCTACATAAATAACTGACAAATTCTACATAGTTTCTATGTAATCATAATCGAAAATCAATGTTTAATCATCAAATCATGATCATGTATAAAAAGACAATTAATTTTAATTACCATAAAGATACTTCTATCAGTAATATATGCATATAAAAATCAAGTTCATCAATAATTCTAATTTAACCTTGTTTTGTAACTCACACAATTGTTATTCACAAAATCTGTAATGAAGTAACAGTCAAACAAATATTTTACTTTTCTCTCAAATTTATTTTTGTCTTTTTTTATGTAATATGTTGTAATTTTATAGAAAAAAAGAGAGGAAAAGATTCTAATCAGTAAGAAAATTAGCAATCAACGAGTTTGTTTCTGTTTAATGAATACTAACAACAGTAACGTCTGTAATCTGTTACTCTTTGTTTTATTATCCTGATGTAGTTGGATTACAATTGTCTGCTTTCTTTCTTCTTCTTCTTTGCATTGTATCATATCGTTTACTTTCATTATTAATAAGTTAATTTGAACGTGTATTATGGGATCAACTTTCGACATATATAAACGTGCACTCCAGCTGTGTTATTATCTATCGTAAATTTTTAAGATGAAATTTAGAAGAATTTAATTAGATTTTTTTGTCTAGTAAATTCTGAAATGTAAAAAAGGGAATTTAAAGTTAGCATATTAGTTACAATTCGTTTAAACTTTATTTTTACAAAGATTTTACACAGTACAATCTTTTCTGTATTCGGTTTACTGATTAGTAAGTCTATTTAATATCATTGTATAAAATATAAGTCTAAGTTCATTCACAACTTAGTATTCTGATAATGAGTTGAAAAATTTCTGCCTAGTATTTCTTATTTTTTAAGTTACAATCATAATTTCTTATCTATTGTTTGTTACACTGTATATAATTTACATTTTGTAATTCATTGTTTTAATACTTCATTATTGATTTTTCGTTGTGCAATGTTATTTTAACCGCAGGTTGTCCTGCTATATGAGAATATGGATTGTTTTTATTTATGTCCACTGTCAAATTTCATATTTTATCCTTTTAATACTTAAAAACTACTGGGTTTCAAGTCATTGGGTCCTAAGCTCGAATCTATCCTACCTACTTTGGTTTGGACAAACAACTAGAGACATAAGCCGTCAAATATAAAAAAATTATAATAATTTTATTCCAGCTTTGCATTGGTTTCTTGTAGATGTCTAATTACTCTTCCTAAAGCAATATTTTCGGAAGACGTGTTCTGAAATTGTAAAAGTATCTTACTATTATTAGATCATACTAAGTTATTTGCTATAATTAGCTGCATTACTGTCAAAAATGTTTTTCACTCCTGTTATATTTTGTACAATGGATAGGTCTTTTTAGCAACAAATAAAATGTTTACAATATGTATGTGAAATATTCGTAGATTTTATCAATACAGTATATGTAAGAATGTATACAATTATGTGCTCTTCCCAATTACTTTTAAATTATTTAGTTTGCTACCTATTTACTAGATTAATGTAAAGAATAACTATCGGTTGTTTAACAAACGTTGTTGTTGTTTATTTACTGTTTCTGATTTTGTCTACCTTTGTTAATAAAAAAGACGTAAAGTTCATTACCTTGTATAACTCATAAACTATTTTTCATATTTATTAGTTTTATTTATGTTCTCATGTTGGGATAGTCGTTCGTGGCCTTATTAATACTTACTGATATAATTTCCACTATCTAATTGGCGCGAAATGCACTCAGCCAATTGGCTAAATAGCGTTTTGGACTTATAGCTGGTGTCAGTTCGTGATGAAAACCCTAAATCTAGTTTCCAACCTTAACCATCTACTGTATATCATAATTCTAATCCCTTACACTGGTTGATAACCCTCATTTAACACTAGTAAGTAGGTGGACGTTCTCAAGGACAGTTTAGCGTCTCTCAAAGGTCGTCCATATATATAATAAGCAAGAGTATTAACGCATAGTAAAAATAATGAGCTTCTATGAAGTATTATTTCTTATTGTTGAATAAAATTTACTATAGTTCTAAGAATTATTTAAAATTACCGAGTTTTGGGTTGTGTATTTAGTTATTATTATGTCTGGGTCGAATAAAATGTAGTTGTTAGTTGTACAATGAAGACACATGGTATTAGGTTTCAATATTTTCCAAACTACCATACTCAATGTTGTATAGGAATTTGTATTTCACTAGATATATCTCTAATACCATTGTTGTTTATTGTAAAATAAAACTATAATATCTTAATAAAAGTATTCAAATTGTTTTTAATTCATTCACTTAATCTTGATTGGAATGTAAATAGATATTATAAAAATGGTTAATAGTTATTTACTGGTTCAACAAATAAATTATAATTTCCTACTTTTCTTCTTTACATACAATAAAAACTTAACATTGTTTTAGAATTTTTATTATTTACGTAGTGGAGACAAAAGCATTAATTTGTAACATTATTGTTCAAAATAAATGTTGAGTTTTTATTCAAATCTAATTAAAATTTATTAAAAAAGTATACGGTCATTCAGTCAGTTTCAATTCAAGATTTTATTTGAAATCTGCTAATACTACTTAGTTGCCAAACTATCCTTCAAACGTACATTTCTGTAAATGTAGGTGACTTTGTTTAATCACTAAATTACTTCCATATCTAGAATTATTTGGGTTTTTTTTAATAGTTATGTTAATACAATTTTTTGTGTATAAGATGTAGTTTTACGAGATATGTATTTTTCCCTACGCTCATTGACAGTAGTAGTGTGGTGTGTGGTACTTATATTGACATAAGTAGTATATGAAGTTATTCGTAAACAGCATGTCTGGCAGCAGAAAGACAAGAGGATTGGACAGTAAAGAATTGAAACACAATGCAATTTGCATGAAAATGCAAGAACAATGAAGTCTGAGTCATTTTGAGACAATTGGTGGACATTTTGCAAATTAAGTATATGATTGTTAGATTTTATTAGCAAGTCCTGTAATTTTGTGTCAAATACATTCGATTGTCCCCACTCGTGTTCTTGTTCACTACAGTAGTAACAGTAATTCTAGGTTTAATGACGTCTAAAAAATATATTAAATGTTATTTCTCTAAACTTTTGTAATTTTCATGTAATGACTCAACGTTTTCTGGTCAGATTACAAGAGTGTTGAGAATTGTCTCACTATATTTTATTAAAATAGTATTTCTTATACGTAGGTTGATTTAATTAGTTGACTTTTTCCAATCGTGTTGTACATGAAATGAATATTGGAAGTTCATTCCATCAAGAAAAAGTTTTATATAATACCAATATTGAACTGGTGATTTAATCTGTACATTACCTACATCGGTTTGGGCACCCGGGCAGTATCACAGCCCTCGCACAAACCAAATTAGATTTGTGTGGTGCATATGTATTTGGTGCCTCTTTGTACCAATATCTATCTGTTCAAATAAATAAATAAAAATAAATCTGTGCATTAAAAAAAGGGAAAATATCAAGCCACAATAAAAAAAGCTTACTTATTATTAATCTGGTTTAGTATCACTGTGTCAAATGCATCTTTTGATAAAACTGTTCAACTTACGTTTCTTTAATAATAACTAAGTGATAACGAGACTGTTATCATCACGGACCTAAAAAACTGATAACTCATTTGCCATGTACAGATTCGTGAAATTAGCTTTTATCCACGCTCAACGTGTAAGGCCCTCATCAATTAAGCAACCGCTCAATTATGGACTTGCGTCAGTTAGAAAATTATTGTGGACGGAATAGCACTGACAAATTGGCAAAGATCAATAACGACAAACAGTGGATGACATCAACAAAACTTGCCCTATTCGTGACATAGTTAAAACCTTACTGATTACTATTTCTCACTAGAAAATCGCGGATTCTTATCGGAGCTCTGTAAGTATTATCTTTACTACGGAGTTTGAAGCTAGTGAATTTAATTTTTCACTTAGTTTTACATTTATACTACTGAGAATTTCAAACTGAAAGCGAAACATATTTTCAATAATCCATGGTTCTTGTTGATTGGTTGGTTGATTTAAACTAACATCGAACTGAACAGTGTCAGAGTAAAGACTCAAAACCCTAATAATTATGAGTTTTGGGTGCAGACATATTTCTAAATGCTTTCTGTGATACATTTCTGTAAATCCAGTAAGAATATTTCACTATGTACCTTTTCGTTAGTGATGTGTTTGGAATTTTTAATTTACGTTTATCCCCACTGAAACTGTCCATGGTAGGTTAGTATTTTGCTACATCGGAATATTATGTGAATAAGACCTTTTTCCAAAGATTTATATTACAAGGTTTTTATTATTAATCTTTGAACACATTGCCATTTTCCGTCTAAGCTTTACTTTTAATCTAATTGGGTACATGGTGTAATTTCCACTGTCGGTTGCATTTTAGACAAATTGTCTTGAGTGCTGTTAGAGTAGAGGTATGAGGGCGGTTATCACTTCCCGGTTGCCCACACCGTGGAAGGGTTCTTCTGGAGGTACCTGAAAAGGAAATTGGATTAGAGTTGGTCATAGTGACCTGAGAGCGTGACCGCAGTGCCCAAGGGACAGCTGCTTGAGGTCGGTCACACACGACCTTTTTATGAGTGATTTTTGTGTTAGCTCCGTACTTGTTGAGTCCTTACCGCCGGAGACGGCGGTATGGCAACTTGGACCGATGCATATACGTGCCTGGTCCTACGTTGCAGCTGACTGACTGACTGAGACAAATTGTCACTACTGAATAGTTGTTATTTTCAGTAATGTAACACAAATTATTTATTCAGTATGATTTGTTTGCCTTTCTTATGGCAGGTTATTTAAATTAGTTCTTTTTTAATATTTTAGGAACGTTATTTAACTGTTTAGAGTATATATAATCTTTATTTTTGGTCTACTCCTTTCAAAATTTTAGTGAAAGACCAGATTTGGCTTCCAGATTATTTGCATTGATGACATCCTATCCAACCCGTGACTTAAATGAAGATGCACAAACACTAGAAGATGGTGATCTTCTGAATTCATCACTATTAGTTCGATTTATGTGAATGATACTTTATTATTGGTTGAATTCACTGTTAATACCATTGCTATTATTACTATGACTACCATTAGTAGCACAATTATCGAATGTGAGTAGTTTTGTTGTTTATGAAATGCAGAAAATGAACAAAATGTGAGAACATAAATATATTCTGTAATTTTTCCAACGGTACTTGTGGTTAATACTTTAATTGTTTTAAAATATTTTGTGACTCAGTACACACAATTTGTCTTTTTATCATCAAATTTCTTGGTGAAAATATTCAAGGTGAAACCGTTTATCTGTTGGTTTTGTTTCATCATTTTTACGCATGTAAATGTGTTCTTTAATCAACTGACTTTCACAACAAATGTACACCGTTGTTTGTTTGAAGATGAATTGATAACAAATAAAGAATATATTTATATATGCATTAATACGAGGTTTTCATTCCTTTTTCTCTTCAAATGTTTTTGGATTCTTTAGTTTGGAAATGATCGTCATAATGACGATCTACATACGTAGTCTTAAGCCGTTTGGGTTTTGTTAAGTATCTTCATGCTGCTAGTTCTATAGGTTACGTGAGAGCTTATCTTTTCCCTTTAATCGAAAAGAAATGGGTTCAAGGCTTGATGGTAAGATTATTTGATTTTCTACCGGTAAAAGGTATTTTGATTTGGACAGGCTGCTGTTATCACCTTAAGGTGAGTTCAAAAACTCATACGTTTAAACGAATTACACTATATGTATAAGGCGACCTGCTTGAATATCTGGGTTACCTATTCCAGTTATTTGTATTTCTCAACAAGTTATCTGTTTTTGTTTGTTTTAATACATCATGATGTCAATTAATTGCATGCGTTTCTGAAAAGTGTACAACCTTTCGTTGTACAAGTTACAAAAGTCCAAATCAGAGACATCGTGGTTGCTGACAATATGCATCGAAAAGAATATAAATTATTCAGATGTCAATTCCTGGACTTCTAACTTCTAGCTAGCGATCATTCAATATTTATTGTCAGGTTCGACCAAGAAATGGGAGACTTGTTGAAATACTTTTTGCTGAGAATTCTATATTGTACCAAAAATATTATATTGAATAAAGCTAATAATAATACTGATCCTAGATATAACATACTACCCTTAGTTATTGTGTAATTCAGGGATTTCATGGTGAATAATTTGAAAGGCAATGATAAATGAGAGAACAGAATGTTTCTTTACAAGTACACGCTGTTAGTGTTCCTGATTCTGTTTGCGAAAACAATCAAACACTCAATATGCCTACTTCTATAAAGACGTCTTAATCATTATAAGAATATTGAACAGGTAGAATATCAGAGGTCAGTATTTCAATTCAATTCATTGGTGTTCAGCTATAAGTTATCAGTCCCGAATAGCGCTTCCGAAATATTGTTGTCCACGATTGTAAATATTTTCGATTGTCAAAATTACACTGAACTGGATTTATTGGTTATTTTTTTCAATTTTTTTCCTATTTAGTAATATATTGAATATAGTTGCGGTATTTATACAAAAAGTTCTCTTTTCCATTTAAATAGGTAGTGTTAAATCAGATGTACAGTATTACCACCATTTTGAGTATAATAAGATTGCATTGAACATTTTTCTTGTTTCATAAACTTGACATGCACTTTCTGTGTTTTCAAATTTGCTGACGTAATATTTCTTTAAGACAATTTTAGTCACCGAACTGATATTAGCTGCGGAATCATTGAAAATCAATGAGTAATGTATTTTTACTCAGCAGTTCAATAGTTTCATACATATTGTAAAACTAGGAGATTCTTCGTTTGATCTCATTGAAAGTTAAACATTCCTGAAAGTCCTTAGATTTTACGGCTTTCATAAATTTGTTCAAAAATCAACTCATTATGTAGTGTTATTTTAGTATTTCAGTTTTGTGGGAAATTTTGTTTAATTGTAACATTGTATTCTCCATTTATATCAAATGTGGTGGAATCAGTATATATTTTACCCTTGTCATTTGTTGGGCCATTAGACACTTTCGTTGTACCAAGATTGTATGCCATTTTCAAATGGCATTATTACTAAATTTGCACACGGTTGTCTAGACTTTCTTTGGTAAACTTACCATGTAATAAATAAATGGAATGGCTTATGTTTGATTAATAGCGTCGATTATCGTTGTAAGTTTTTTTCTAATAATGCGTTCTTAGTTACACATAGCAAAACCATTAACTATAAATGAAACAACTGTCATGGGTATCCTGTTTTCAGTAATTACGGACTGAGATTTCAAGATATTACAATACAAACAAAAGTAAAGTGTTCACAGTAATCAGTGAGTTTTTGTACATGGGGAAAATATAATCATCCCTTATAAAAGAATATATTAAATAAGATTTAGTCATTGAAAATATTACAAGTAAACCTTTGGGATCGACCTCAACAACCCTTCATAGACACTTGAAAAATAGATACTATAAGGCTATCGCAATCAAAGCAAGTTGAACAGGGTTTGAACCAATAACTCAGCCAAATCTTTGCTACAACACATTTTTTTCTCATAGAAGTTCATTAAATGTAAAAACGAAATTTAAATGAATTTCAATTAATCAACAGGAGTTGGTTAGTAGGTAAACGAAATAATTTAATCTAGAGATTTCAGTCCATTAGCATACACATTGCTCAATGTATCACAATCAGTAATTAGGATCTGGAATAAACAATCGGTTATTAATAATACCCGTAAGTTTAATAATTCATATATATAATGAAGAAATATCAATTCAACTAGATTAAAATGATTGAATCATTTAGATATATCGAAGTTGTATTTAAATGAAAAATGAATGTAACATTGCTACGTCATGTGTATGGCCAGTCAACAAACTAAAGTTTCAAGATTCACTTATGATAGATTTTATCCTGATATCTACGTCATATCGTTGTATATATATTTACATACATAAGCATTCGAAGTACGTTAAGAATGAGGCTTCAAACAAACTCGACAGATATTTGGGTCAAAATAACAATTTATCTATTTTGATAAAAAAAAACTAAAACATAATACTTTATAAAATCGTGTACTGAATTATTATTTTTTTTAAAAGTATTACCGACAAAGAAGCAAAAAATGTTATATGTCTGATGTATTATTGAAATCATTTAAAATATTTCTCTTTTCATTCTTACTTACGCCTGTTACTCCTCGTGAAGGAGCATAGGCCGCCCACCAGCACTCTCCATTCAACCCTGTCCTGGGCAATCCTTTTCAGTCGTTATTCATCCTTTTCATATCTGATTCTATTTCCCGACGTAATGTGTTCTTTGGCCTTCCTCTTTTCCGCTTCTCTTCAGGATTACAAGTTAGCGCTTGCTTCGTGATGCGTGATATATGTCCTATCCATTTCCATCGTCTTTTCCTAATTTCCTCTTTAGCTGGAAACTAGTTTGTTTTCTCCCACAGAAGGCTGTTGCTGGTGGTATCCTGCCAATGGATGTTGAGTATTTTGTGTCGACAATTATTTATAAATAATTGTACCTTCTTGATGGTGGTTGTAGTAGTCGCTCCATACAGTAGAACTGTCTTGAAGTTTGTATTGAAGATTCTGACTATGATATTGGTTGAAAGTTGTTTTGAGTTCCGTATGTTCTTCAATTGAAGGAATGCGGCCATTGCTTTGATAATGCTTGCCTTCATGTCTACATCTGATCCGCCTTGTTAATCTTTTCATTCTGATCAATTTAAATTTGCTTAACGAAACGGTTTTTTGTTCCATAAAATAAAATCAAACCAAAATGATAAAAATTCAATGAGAGTAATTCATTACAAACTGATATTACTTATTTAGCTTAATGTAAAGTACATAATGTGTAAATTAAAAACAATAGTTATAATAAATTTGTAAAGAAGAAATTTTTTTGTGGTTAATTTATCCACTTCTTTTTGTCTGAAAAAATAAAGAAATATATTTTCATTGTCAATCCAATTTATATTGAATACATAGAACAGACGTAAATTATGGAACTATACTGATTTTTGTTTTATTATTTACTTGTTATATATACATATATGATGACATTTACTAGTAAAGTTAAATCGAAATGTCTGAAGTAAATAAGTTACTATATACTGGTTTTTATTGAGTTATTTGTGGATATTAATTCTATGAAGCCTTTGTTATGATTAGTGTGAAACAGTTGCTTTAGCCAAATTATTAGTGATATTACTATTTCATTTATCCGAGTGCCAACTTTTGCATACATTTGATTCAACTGTAAAAAAATCATTTGCTGATATACTTGCCTCAATAATATTATATTCAAGACTAATAGGAAAATCAGTAGATTTAATTACCTAAGTAAGAAACTTATAGTCAATTGTTAGTGTACAATATTTTTACCGCTAATCTCTTGTCAATCAAAACGTTTTGTCTGATCATATCTCTTACAAAAGGAAGTGAATAGTTTTGTGTTAAATAGACTAAAAGTTATTACCCTAGAACAAAAAAATATTAAAAACTAGTTTCTACGTCGATTTAAGAGTACAAATATAAATTCTAACCATTACAGTCGATCTGTAATTTTTATATCGTAGAAGATGTTCCACACAATCATGTAGTCAAAGTTGATTTAGTTGTGATTTTCAAAATGAGAGTTTAAAATATCCTAAGAAGATCGTTCTTACTATAACATTGGGATTAAAGCTTTTAGTTCTATTTATAATTTTTAGTAACCAAAAGAACAGGTTCTGGGGCCTGACCACTTCGATGCTCATTTATAAGTTGATCATTCTCGACCTATTTAGTTTTTCAGATTATTCATCTACTTACTTTACCTTCACAGAACCTAATCTTTGTTTATTGTAAAGATTATTGATCACACGATAGCAGGCACTTTTTAATATCTATTTCAATTACTGTGGGTTTTTTTAACGTGCTTTGACTTTAAAATAGAAAAACAGATTACGAATAGTGACAAATTTTCAAACTATGTAAAAATGCTGTGTGACTTTATTCTAGATTGTATTTCAATTATACGTCTGTTACTTAGCCTATAAGCTTTCTTATGAATAAGGATTGTAAACATCTTAAAGTGCACGTAAGTCTGATATTATAACAAAGTTGTACCGACTAAATTTGCCCCCAAATACGCTGGTACGACCGAGAGTGGGGAGAGTTAGCTCTCCTTCTCACATGGCCACGTATATACAACCACTGCCAGGGAAGTCCTATTCACTGCCTTCTCGCGGAATCACTGTTGTTTACGATATTGAGAGGACGAAAAGCGAATGTCCGGCACCTTAACCGGGTTGGTGGATACGGAGAGTTCACCTACGGGAGTTAGAAAACCCTGGTTCCAAACAAATGGTGCACATGGACTCCAGTATCGTGTGGAACAAATGGCGTATGAACCTACTGTTGGTCACAAGCTACCATAGAAC